GGGGGGGGGGGGTGTGAAAATAAACGGTAAAAAATTTGGTATTTTAACGGTAGGAATTTTGATATTTTAACGGTAAATCTTTGAATCTGCTGAAAAGTATTCTGAAACGATAAACAGTATCTTTTTCTTCACGGTGAAATTTTTAGTGTTTTCACGACTGAAGGTAACCGAAATTGAGTAATCACGACTCACGATATACCCCATCAACACCCTTTTGTAACATATAAAGTAGTTTATGAAAAATTGGCTTCGTTTCAAACCGCGAAATTGCATGCGTGAATGGGTTATTCTATTAACAATAGTCAATAAGCTTGTGTGCCAGTTTGTGTCTGAACTACTGAGATTCAACACACTTCATTAAAATTTTGAACGAGGCCGAGGGTACCAAATAGCCTTCTGATTTCGATTCATCTATCGTGTTTACTTGTTTTCGGTACACAGTGGCCTGGCAAACAAGTCACGTTTAAAGTGATCCCGATCAATAGACTTAAACGTCCTAAAACTAACAGTTTTCACAGATAAACAAGGTTTAACAGAATCTAACCAGCATAAAACGGCAGTATGAGCAGATATAAAATGGTCTACGAGTGGCATTCTGGTAACAAGAGATTCAGACATGCGTGTTACAAGTAGATCTGATGTGTTGATTTAGTCCAAATGAAGTTAACATATCCAAAAACCTCCTACCCTTATTAACGTCATTTGCATCATCCACGTGGATATTGAATTCACCTGTTATCAATAGTTGTTCCTTGCAAAGTACAAGTGATTCCAAGTATTCGGAAAATTCAGTAAAAAATACGCTGGTTGAGACAGGATGGTTAGCTGAATAGGATGGTCTGTTAATCGAACAACAATCCGCAAATTATGTGATATTGACTTAATTATCCCCTCCGAAAACTCGTAGGAATCCCGTACACTGGCACCTGCATCAATATTTTCAACATTCAGCGACTCACAATAAATTAACCCCGGCAGTCCCTCCTCCTCGACGATCTAATCTTGGATGATCAAACATCTTGTAGACATTCGGACATGACTCAGCTCTGATCGCAACATCACGAGAAGTTACTGAACCAATGCTTAGTGATTGTGAGCAAATCTACAGATTCACATATGTAGTCAAAAATCTCGGCCGTTTTGTTCCTAACAGAGCGAACGTTAAAATAATTGCGTATAATATCAGTTAGGCAGTTGTTTTTTGTTGCAATTAGCTTTCGATTTATTATTGCTATTTGCTGTAAACGTTTAATAAGTTATTTAATTGCTGTCGAGGGCGGGAATAACGCTCACTCCGCTGTGAGTAGCTATAAGCTATAAAGTGAATGATAATTTCAAATTTTTCTGTCGATATTTCTGTAATTATGGCAACAGCCTACATGTTCGTGAGGCCAAAGAAAAAACCCTTCCGACCCTACCTATATCTTTTGGCGACTGAAATGATGAGTGAAATCACGTACCGACCCTAATCTTTTTATTGGAAGTTTGCAAAGACCTGCAAAGAGTTTGGAGCAATTTTTCATACCCGATTTGTGGCATTTGGTTTTGTACTATCCATATAGAGAGGCCCGTACTAACAGTTTCCCACTCAGGTTCTCGCTGGTTTGTTGAATAAACGGGAGTGCCGTATTCCATGACGATGTCACGAGGAGTATTTTGATAGAAAACATTGATTTGTCATCTAAGGGACACATATTTGCAAGCACGGTCTTCTATTGTTATAGACAGGGATAAACTTTTCCCCATACGCCTTTCCCTATGCGAGGTTTAATAAGGCAATGAAATAGTGTCGATTTACAGATAACATTTTGAATCTGTTGTTGCATATTAAATTTGTGTTTTGTGAGTATTTTTTTTTCTTGGGGGGGGGGGG